TAGGTATAAGACTTGTGCCCTGAAAACTACTTTAAAAATTGAAAATGAAACAAATAAGTGGAAAAATATATCTTGCTCATGAATTGGAATAAGTAATATTGTTAAAGTGCCCATCTCACCTGAAACAATCTAAAGATTCAATGCAAACTGTATCAAAACACCCATAGAATTTTTCACAGAACTAGAAAGAAGTATCTTAGAATTTGTGTAGAACCACAAAAACCTTAAACAGCCCAAGCAACCTTGAGAAAGAACAAAGCTGGAGGTACAATGCGCCCTGATTTCAAACTATACCTCAAAGCTACAGGAATCAAACAGTATGGTACTGGTGGACAAGCAGACATATAGATTAATGGAACAGAATTGAGAGCCCCAAAATAAATCCATGCATATATGGTCAATTAATTTTTGACAAAGGAGGCAAGAATATATAATGAGGGAAAGACAGGCTCTTCAATAAATGGTATTGGGAGAACTGTACAGATAGAATGAAACGGAACCATTTTCTTACATCATATACAAAAATAAGTTCAAAATGTATTCAAGAATTAAATGTAAAACCTGAAAACATAAAATTCATAGAAAAAAACATATTGTGCCCTTTGACACTGTCTTAACATTGTTTTGGATCTGTCTCCTCAGGCAAGGTCAACAAAAACAAAAATAAATACAAAACAAATAGGACTACATCAAACTAAAAAGCTTTTGCACAGTGAAGGAAACCATCATAAAAGAAAAGTCAACTTTTTTAAGTGACAGAAGATATTTGGAAATGAAATATTCAATAGGAGCTAATACCCAAATTATATAACAAAATCATACAACCCAATATAAAAAACCCCAAACAATCCAATTCAAAAATGGGCAGAGAACCTGAGTAGACATTTCATTCCGAAGAGGACATGCAGATGGCCGACAGGCACATCAAAAGACGCTTAGTATCACTAATTATCAGGGAAGTGTAGATTCAAACCACAATGAGGTATCACCTCACACTTGTCAGAATGGTTATCATCAAAAAGACAAGAAATAAAATGTGTTGGCAAGAATGTGTGGAAAAGGGAACCCTCATGCACTGTTGGCTGGAATATAAACCGGTGCAACCACTGTGGGAAACATTATGAAGGTATTTCAAAAACTTAAAAATAGATCTAGCGTATGATCCAGTTACCCCACTTCTGAGTACTTACCCTCCAAAATGAAAACACTAATAAGAAAAGATACATAAACCCTTGTGTTCATGGTGGCACTATTTACAATAGCCAAGATGTGGAAATAACCTAAATGCCCATTGATAGATGAATGGATAAAAACGATGTTTATTTCTGGAATTCATATTTTAATTTTATCATCATCATTACCTCTCTCTGAATTACAATGACTTCACTGGATTTTAACAGCATCCAGCATGGAGCTATGCTTCATGATTTTTGCTGAATGAACGAATAACAGAATAAATTCTGTTTTATCTAATCTAATCTTAGGCTTTATTTTGTAGATCAAGGTAATGGATTAAGCTAGGACCAGAGGTTCCCTAGGGCTTAGAGTCTAGCTTAATTTATATTAGAAATGGCTGAAAGATAGCTATGTTTAACAGATAAGGTTTTAAAAGGGAGAAAAGGGCTAAAGAGCCTTTCTAGAGAATTTAGGGACCAAGTTTCAGAGCTGAGAGAGGACATTGGGAAGAACTGAGAAACAGCAAGATAGTGAGAACTGGGAGAAAGGGAGAAGAGATTTGAGTTTTGTTCCTAATTATAAATTTAACTCTGTCATTCAACTGATTGGCGTGTCCTTAGAAAGTACTGGAAGGATGTTAAATTGCTTAGTAGTTATTTTTGGATGCCATTCGAGTACGTCTTTAAATGCTACACTGGCTCAAGATGGAGCCACAACGTAGCTCCACGCTTACTCAGTTTACAGATGAATGTATGGAAATTCCCTTAGATAATATCCACAGCTCCAGTCTTGAAATTTTTGAAATCAATTTCAACAATGCAGTTAGAATAGTTTTTCTGAAGCACAACTTAGCCAAGTCTATCTTCTGCTTAAAACATGTTGGTGGTTTCATTCTTCGGAATAAAATCCTTACCACCACTCATGGTTTCATTATCCAGTCATTTTTCTCTGCATATGGCCTCCTCTCCAACATATTTTTTTCTCTTGCTCTCTTTCTCTCTCACAAAGTAAATGGAGTTTTTTGCACTTACTAAAACATTTTGTCCTCTTTGGCTTCTAATAATCTGTACATTTGGTTTTTTGCTCTTTAAATTCTTTGTAATTTTCCCTGCCAAACCTGGCTCCTATGTATTTTTCAAAACTCCATTTAGACTAGACGTCTTCCATAATATTGACAGAACTGTGATGAGCACATTTCTGTTGTTTATCAGCCACCCAGTCGGTGGCGTTTTGTCACAGCAGCCTGAAAGGACCAGAAAAAACCTAGCAGTCTCTTAACAAGCATTTAGTAAATATCCAATTAATACATGGCATATCAGTTCACACTTACTACATTTACTACATGAATTCAAAAATAAAGTACCCACTATACTTGAAGTATAGGCACTCATTTCTAACAATGTTTTAAGAAAAAGTCAAGATGGCTGCAACTATAAAATATATGAAACAAGTATGTATGGGAAAAAAGAAAACAAGACGACTATTCTTACAATCAGTTATTATTGAAAAAATCCCATGTATTTGCTGTATCTTTTCCAACATCTCTAGTATCATACGTCTTAATTATGGGGAAAAAAACATAGTATTACATGTAGTAAAAATGTTAAATGCAGCAGCAATTTCAAATGAGTCACCTTTTTTGGAAAAGACGATAATATATACTGTGTGAGTCCTTGGTTGATTCTTCACTCATGAAAGCTTATATTTTGTCTTATCTCCAATGATATGGTATCTGACTCAGTGTAAAGACTGGTGATCATTTATTTGATTGCGACCATCTGTTCCCTAAAAGTGATTTCTCTCTCTCAGGATTTGGAATGATATCTAGATTCCTAGAGTGTCCTCTTTCTTTCCCCTTAAGGGAAGTTACTTTGTTTTGATTACCTATTTCTTTTTCATTCTCCCCTGGGTTTTGTCCTAAATCACCCCTGTCTGAGGGGAGAATGAAGGCAGGAATTACAGAGCTTGAGCCTAAGAACTACCAGTGACTCCATATCAGAGAAAATAAGTGTGTGTGTCCAGGGGCCCCTGAGGACTTTCCCTCCCCTCTCAGCCTTTCAAATTCCTATGCAGCAGCAACAATGTGCAGGAAAGTCCGGACACTTTTTGTACCATGGTTTTCTCTAGGTAAAATATGGAGGTAGAGGAAGAGGAAACCAGAAAACTCACCTACAGTGGGCAGTGTGTGTCCACTCCGTGCAAAGGGATTTACTTGTAGGATCCATTGAATCCTCACAACAAATTAAGGGCAGGCATTTCAAAGGCCATTTTAGTAAGAAAATAAAGTATTGTAGACTTGCATAAGGATAATCAGTTAGCCAGTGGCAGAGCTGAATTCAAAGCCAAGTCTGAATAACTTCAAAACACAGTTTTTCCTAAGAGTCTCTGTACCTCATGTGGTTTTATAACAGCCATCTTCCAACTTGTACTTTCAACTTGCTCTACATCAGCTCGTTCAAGTTCACAGGTGGTTTATAGGTTCTATGGATGTCAAAGTACAGTCAGCCCTTGATGTCCATGTGGGGTCAGTTCCCAACGCAATGCAAACGCTATACAAATAGTTGCCAGTGCATGACAAATTTAAGTTTTGCTTTTTGGAACTTTGTGGAATTTTTTTTGAATATTTTCTAACCATAGTTGCCTCAATCTGCAGCTGTGGAGCCTGCAGATAGAGGGCTGAGTGTGTGCAAGAGGGAGACTGTAAGACATGGTTCTGTCTCGCAAGGTGTAAATAGTTTACTTTGGGAGACAGTACGTGAACCAGTGTAAAACGTGATAGAATAAGATATAATGAAAATCTGAAGCCACGTATTTTTTCTTTTTCTTTTCTTTCTTTCTCCCTCCCTTCTTCTCTCCCTTCTCCCCCTCCTCCTTTTCCTTTCTCTTTTCTTCTTTATTTCTTTTTTTTTTAATCAGTTTTTAAGGCTGGAGGGTAAATCTCTTCCAATTACTCCTCTGGCTAGCATTGGAATTTAAGTGTTAAATCAATGGTATTTTTCTCCAACTTTGTTTAGTTTGACTTTTCTGTATGATTAATATTTCTATATAAATTTTATAATAAATCTAACAATTTCTAAAAGATTCCTGTTGGAATTACTGTGGGAAATGTTTGGAATTTACAGATAAATTTGGAATTAAATGACATCTTGAAAATATTAAGTCTTCCGATTCATAAGCACAACAAATTTCATCATTTATTTAGTCTTCTTTTATATCTCTCAGTAATTTTCAGTGGTTTTAGTGAAGAGGTCTTGCACACTATTTATCCCTAAGTATTCCATGATTTTTGCCACAATTATAAAATGTTTCTTAAAATTTCATCTTCAGTTACGGTTATTAGTAATTGAATATTATTTGGAAATTGTTGACAAATAACACTCTTTATTTAACTAGCCTTTCATAATACAAAAAGCCATTTCATATTTCTTATATCATTTCGTTATTTCAACAAACTGTGAGGCCATCTGGGAAGATATTTTTATTTTAGAACAGAAAAAAATATACAGTAGGCATCATTTATTGAAAACTTTTAAGTTACACTTGATGTCATATCCTAAATTTGTATCTTACAAGCTTATTAAGTTCGTCTATCAGTTCTAGCAGTTGTTTTACCAGTTTCTTAGGTTTTTCTATGTAGACAACCATGCCATCTGCCTTTTCCTTGTAGTAACTAGGACAGTCGGTATGAAGTTGGACAGAGATGTGAGAATGGGCATCCCTGATTTGTTCTCAGTCTTTGGGGAAAAGTGCTAACTTTTTATAGGACATACATTTTTATTAGGTTTTGTTTGTTTGTCTTGTTTTTATAGATGCCCTTTATCAGGAAGAAGAAGTTACCTTTAATTGCTAGTTTCTTGAGAATTTATACAGTGAAAAAATGTTGACTCTTGACAAATCATTTTTCATCTCCTCCTGACATGATCATAAGGTGTTTTTTGCTTTTATTTATTTTGTTTTAAAATATGGAGAATTGCACTCGTGATATCTGACTGTTGAACTGACATTGTGTTGTTGGAATAAATCGCACTGGGTCATAGTGAACAATTGCTTTTACATGGTGTTGGATTTGAGTCACTCATACTTTACTATAGTTTACTGTTAGCAATATTGATGATTTTTCATCTTATTAATGCTTTTGTCAGGTTTTGGTTTTAGGATTATGATGCTTCATGAAACTAATTGTACAGTACTCCTGTTTCTGTATTTTGATAAGATAAATTTTTTAAAAATGTTTTGTAGAATGCACCAGTAAAGCCATGTGTAACTGAAATGAATTTTTTGCATTCAGGATGTGTAAAGAATGTTTTCTAATACATAACATCTTACAAAATGAGCCTTTTATCTAAGTGCTGCAAAAGGTCTAATGTAACATTAAATCATTCTGATTGTCCATTCATCAAGGGCAAGCTTATCATAGCTTTTGAGGAGACCCTTCAGAGCCCATATACTGTGAAATGCTTAGTCCAAATTATTAAAGTGTAGCATAAATTCCTCTAATATATGAGAAATAAAATTTATTTTTCTAATGGCAATTTATAGCTTTTATTTTCATAAAGCAGTGTATGTGTGGAGAAAATGTACTGATTGGCATAAATATTAAAAATGGACTTTTCTACATCCACTAATCTGAAATTATACATTTATTTAAATTAGACCTTGTAAATGCTCTTCATGTTATTTAGATAGGCTTTCTCAGAAATTTTAATATGATTAAAACACATAGGCTTGTCAAGTCATTGCCTCTTGCCAGAATTGTTCAGAATTCCAAACTTTCTCTGAATCTAAAATATTGAGGTAATCTGAATATGGAGTTCCTTTCAGATGCTATCTTTATAATGAAAATAGGGTAGGGGGTAATGGCACAAATTTTTAAATGTTCTGCAATACACAGTTCTTTTTCTCATTTTCAAAGGGTGAAAATGATATTGCCATGTGTCTCTCAAGTAATAAATGTGCTTGGTTATACAAGACACATTTTTCAAAGAAAACAGTCTGACTTTCTCTTAGTTCTTGCCACGAAGTTTTGCTTTTGAGGTCCAGACATAAAATTTCTCATTCCCTATGCCACACTGCGCACACACACACACACACGTACAATGCATTATTTTATTAGTTATTTTTCATCTATGCATCAGCTATACCAGACATTAAGTATTTCTTATTCAGTAGTTCCTCTTTCATATTAAAATATTATACACCACAAAGTCTGTCTGTAATTAAATCATTGATGTTAAAGAGACAGAGAGAGAGAGAGAAAGCTTTGGCTAGTATACCCAATGCCCCTGATAATTTGAACATTTTTTAACAAATGGGCTATGTAATCTCAACAAGATTTCCGTCAATCACAAAAAAATATGCTTGGTAAAGCTGACCATGGTACAGTAATTATGAAGCAGCTGAAATCCCCAAATTTCTTGGCAATTTTCAAGAATATGCTTGTTCAAAGAATGATTTTAGTAGAAGCCAGTGACTAAATGCCTTTGAATTTTATGTTAACTTGGTCTACTCATGACATTTCATCTCATCAGCAGCGAGACTACATTCTCAAATCATGGTTGCTGAATGCTTTTAACAGCACAGTGATTACAAGGATGGGACTGAAATTCCTGAGAGGTACAGGAGCTTCAGTTTCTTTCAAGACCAAATGGCCGGCACCACACAGACGTGGATGTGCTCCCATGGAGGAGTGCATGTCTTGTGTCATCAACAACCTTAAAGCGGACGTACAAATAAAAATACATGTTATGCAAAATTCTGTGCATATTTTATTCTTTACCTCCATTTACGTGATTTACCACAAAAATGTGACTGAGAGTTAGGGAGTGATGGTTTCAGCTCTGACAGGTAAAGCATTTGAATTCAACCATCCTCATCATTCCAGTAAGAAAAAAGCTGAACAAACTAAAATTTAGTAAACTTTCTCGAACCCATCAGATAACTGAAGAAACATGAAAATCTGCCCTCCCCAAATCTGGAGACATAAGTGAATCTCGAGAGTTACAGCTGTGATTGGCTTACTCAGAGGAGAAGGCACAGGAGCAGGATGCAGGTGGGAACACTTAAATGGTAATTCTGAAGATTGCTCGAGGCTGCGTGGGAGCTAGTTCAAGAGAGAAAGTTCTGGGAGCCACAGTCTTAGGGGTTCCCCACAATTTTATGAATTTTGCCTCAAGGGAACCACCAGGTTCTTATAATGAAAATCCTAAAAGATTACCTCATAGCTCTGACAGAGGAGGAAAAAATTAACCCCCTGAATTAACCAGCACATTTCTTAAAGTAGAAGCCTACTCTCCAAGAAGGAAGACTTCCGCAAAGCTTCATCACACCCAGCAGAAGGTTATCAGCCTGACGCTCGCCCGTGCAGCCTTCCTGCCTAAGCTCAGGAGGCAGAGGAAGTGCTTGTGACGGTCACAGCACAGGCACAAAGGGCCAGTGAGTCCTGAGGTCTAACCATAGGATGACAGGCTGCTTCCCCTCCCTCACACCTTAACATCACAGCAATAAGACGACAGCCTCGTAACTGTGGATTACAGCTGAAGGGATGGCCAGGCAAAAAGCCTACTTAATGAGGAAGTTTGAAGACAATAGGGGAATAAAAACAAGGGCATTAGAGGAATACGAAGCCTCTGGGACTTACAGTTAGAGAGAATATAAAACACAGCACAATGTCTATCCAAATTTACATAAAATCTCACAGAAATTCTATTTTCCTCATTTCCTATTTCTCAGTACATTGCCATAGGTTTTCAACAAAAATTACAAGGTTTATGAAAGGCAAGAGTAATCACAGTCTGAAGAGACAAAGCAAGCATGCAAACCAGATTCAGATATGACACGACTGCAACTGTCAGGAGAGAATGGAAAAGAACTATGATTTATAGGTAAAGGGCTCTGAAGAAAAAAGGTAGAAACATTCAAGAGATGTTGGGTAATGTCAGTTGAGAAACGTAAAGTCTAAGAAAACAAATCAAGTGAAATCTGAGATACCAATGAATGGTAACGGAAATGAAGAATATCTCCTATTGGCTCAACAACAGACTGAACACGATTAATGAAAGAACTGTTCACTTAAATACTAGGAAACAGATTCTCCTCAAACTGAGTGAAAACAGAGCAAAGCATCCCAAACAAAAGGGCTATTTCAAAGGTGTTACCACACGTGACTGGAATGTTAGGAGAAGATGTAAGCAAGACGGTGCAGACAACATTAGAAATAAAAATGGCCAAGAATGTTTCAAAATTAATGACAGACGCAAAATCAGAAATACAGGAAGCTCAAAGAATTCAAAGTAAGACAAATACCAAAAATGCCGTATCTAGCTGTATTATGTTCCAAATGCAGAAACCAAAGACAAACAAAATGATGGAAGAAGACAGAGGGACAAAAATCTGTTACCTATAGTGGAACAAGAGTCAGAAGTACAGTGGACTTCCAGTCAGAAACCATGCAAACAAAAGACAATAGAGTGATGTATTTAGAATGTAGAAAGAAAATTTTACCAACATGGAATCCTATATCCCATGAAATTATCCTTCAAAATGCAGGATATATAAATAATTTCAAAAACAAATAAATTAAAACAGTGCACTGCTAGGAGCACTACTCTTCAAGAAATCTTAAAAGTTTTCAGAAAAAAAGGAAAACAATTTAGGAAAGACATTTGGGTCTATATAAGGAAAATAAGAGTGCTGGAAAAGGAATAAATAGAAATAAAATAAAGGGTTTTTTAAAAACATACAGGTTATAAATATATATTCTATTCATACAAAGTATATATGCATAAGAGAAGGTAAAATAGAATCACAGGAAATGCTCAGTTAACATGAGCTGCTGGGGAAAAAAAGGGAGGGAAAAAAAGAACAAAGGCAACCAATAAAATGAGCAACAAACATGGTAAACACTAGCCCAATTTTGTGAATCAACACTTTAACTGAAAATGATCTAAAAATATCAATTATAAAAGAAATTTTCAAATGGGTAGAAAAGCAAGACTCAACTATACTTTGTCTACAGAAACAAAAATAAGAACCCAACACTTTAAATATAAGATTCAGACAGGTTAAAAATTAGGCAGACGATCCAAAAGACCAAAACTGTATTGCAAAGAACAAAGCTGGGGGCTGACAATACCTGACTTCAAGACTTACAGTAAAACTACAGTCATCAAGACAGTGCGCTACTGGTGAAAAATATACATAAGCGGATTAACGGAACAGAATAGACAGCCCAGAAATAGGCACACGTATGTGTAGTCAGCTGACCTTTGTCAAGGAACAAAGGCAATACAATAGAAAAGACAGTGTTTTCAACAAAGGGTACTGGGACAATTGGACATTCTCATGCAAAACAATGAATATAGACACAGACCTTACACCATTCACAAAAACTGACACAAAATGGATCACAGGCCTAAAAGTAAAAGGCAGAACTGTACAACTGCTAGAAGACAGCATATGAGAAACCGAGATGCCCTCAGGTATGTGAGGGCTTCTTAAACACAGCACCAAAGGCGTGATCCATGCAAGAACGGGTAAGCTGGCTTCTTCAAAAGTAAACACTTCTGTTCTGCAAAAGACAGTGTCAAGAGAATGAGAAGAAAAGCCATCGACTAGGAGAAAATACTGGCAAAAAACATAGCTGAAAAAGAACTGTTAACCAAAATATAAAAAGAACTCTTAAAACTCAACAATAAAGAAACCAAACTCCATAAAAATAGGCCAAAGACCTGAGCACTTCATCGAAGAAGATACACAGATGGCAAATAAGCACATGAAAAGATGCTCTACATCATATGTCATTAGGAAATTGCAATTAAACAATAAGATATCACTATATAAGTAATAGATTGGCTAAAATCTAACACACTGACACCACCAAATGCTAACGAGATGTGGAGAAGGGGAAACTCTCATTCATTGCTGGTGGGGATGCAAAATGGTACAGCCCTTTGGAAGAAGGTTTGGCAGTTTCTTACAATCTAAACATTCTTTTACTATGCAATCCAGTAATTTAGTTGAAAACTGAATTTCACATAGAAACCTACACTCAGATATTTATAATACTTTGTTCTTAATGGCCAGAACTTGGATGCCTTCAATAGGTGAACGGATAAATAAACTGAGGTACGTACAGGCAGTGAAATGTTTTTAACACTAAGAGGAAATGAGCTATTAAGCCACGAAAAGACTTATACGACCTTAAATGCGTGTTTCTAAGTGAAAGATGCCGATCTGGAAAGGCTGCATACTGTATGATTCCGACTAAATGACATTCTGGAAAAGGCAAAACTATGAAGGAAGACAGCAAGCACTGAAGACTGCATACGTGGCTCTTCTTGTATCTATTCTGGACAGCTTCTCTGGAAGAAAACAGCACAAAACTCCTGGTCAGCCCCACTTTTATCAGTACTATGGTAATGGTTCATCTAACGACTTATGTGATAAATTCACTGAAATACACATTTTTTAGCTTAAGGACATCATTCAACTGATTTTTTTTCCAACAAACTGAATTTTTCTTTGAGTTTTGGCACTGAGAAGAGACAAGTCAGGAAGCACCGTTGTGAGCCTGTCAAATTTTTAATTCCAAAGCAGCATGCATGAGAGTTGTCGGGAATAATAATTTTTTGGAATTTTCAGTTCTGGCTACACCAATAATAATCATTAAATGTAAAAGACTGAAACATTTATCAAAATTAGTACAGCTGGTAATTTCCATTTCATTAAAATTTATACGTGTTTTCCTTTGTAAATTTTCTTAAACTGTCTGAGATCCATAAAAACTTTCAAAGTTTATAGATGGAGATCATGAATTCAGCGAAATGTTAAGGAACATTTTGTGGATTGGTTCATTTTTCTTTCCTAAGGAGAGAAGTCAAAGACTTCATCAGTCTCCTGAAGGGCTCAAGATAAAAACGTCTGATTTCCTACATGAGAGCTAGTTTAATTTCTTTCCAGTACTGTGACTTCTTTTTGGCTGACACAAAGACTGTGTGTAAATTTCTTCAGTTTAGTCTGCTCTAAATTTTGTTTTGTTTTGTTTCTGAGTTTTAAGAAACTAACTGGAAATACTGAGGGAGAGGAAATCCTCCGGGCCAGGGGTGCAGAGGTCAGGGGCTGCTTTCTGAAGCTGAAAATTATAGCAACTTTATATGGTTTAAATCATAACTGACACATTCTGAGTATCTGCTACTGGCAGTGGAAGAGTAGTTGTTATGTCGAAGTTGGCAAAATTCAGTTAAATTATTCATATGATGGCAGTCATCAAATTTTATCCAAAGAAAACTTCCTTTTTGGTGTTCTCAGGCATCATTAACTTCAGGCACATAAGCTAAGACAGAGCAAAACATGCCTTAGGTCTATAAAAATAAAACAACTTCCTGCCCTGCCTCTGCAGATTTAGGACGTGAAACAGTGACTTTCCTATTGCAGGAGCCAGATTCGACTGGGAAGCACTCAGTTCACAAATTTATCCCCAAACATAGTATGGTCTCAACACACAACCCTGAAACAGAAAATGGCCCATAATTTTAGAGAAACTGAACCACTTTTGAAAATAAAATTCATAGTCCTATTTCCTCTCATGTCTATGTCAACACAACAAAACAGTCAAAGCTCAGCTCAATTATTTCAAAAATCTGAACAGCAGATACTGTGTTTATTAGTAAATCATTGGATATTTGATTTTCTCAGTTAGTCCCGTAATGTAACGATGGCCCCAGTTATAGCAGGACTGGAGGGAAGCAGCCGGCGGCCACATAAGTGGTGGCACGTGCAGGGCGCCGGCTGAGTCTCATGCCTCAGGGTCTCAGAGGGGCACTGTCCTGGCTGGGCCGGGGTGGAGCCCTAAGAGCGGCGGCCAGGAGACACCCTCGCTGGTGCAGCACCCATGAGTAACGGGAGTCCAGAGACAACAGCCTGGTCTAGAAAATGAGGCGGATACCAAGAGAATCAGGACAGTGGATATGTTCCAAACCTCAGAGATTTTTTTGATATTTAAAAATCTCTACAGCAAAGCCATAAACCCTGACCATACGTCATGAATTCAGACCATTTCAGCGGCTCAGAGACATCAAAATTATTTTCCTAATAATACCAAGATTTTGTATTTTTTTTCATTGCCATTCTCTTGTAAGTGTAGAGTGGAGTTTCCAGAGGCTGTATGAAGTGTAAAAAATGATAAATAAATAAATGAAATACATAGTGTGATGCATGAATTTAGGAGCAAATACAAAAATTTAGCCAGATATTACAGACATTTGCAACAATGTAAAACAGTGCCATTCTTCTCACAGTTATTCTTCTTTTCCAATACAGCTGTCAATTTTTAATTCGTTAACGTTTATTTTTCCTTCCGGCTTTATTTAGATATAACGGAATAGCACTGTACAAGGCTAAGGTGTGCAGAGTGATTTGATTGACATACACTGTGAAAAGGTTATCAGAGTAAGTTTAGATTGTATCCATTGTCTCACACAGACACAACATTAAAGAAACAGAAAAAAATTTTTCTTGGGACGAGAACGCTTAGGATTTATTCTCTAAATGACTTTCATATAAAAACATACAGCAGCATTAATTTTATTTATCGTGTTGTACATTGCATCCCTAGTACTTATTTATCTCATAACTGGAAGTTTGTACTTTTTGATCACCTTCCTCCCATTACCATGGCCCCCTATCCCCTGCCACTGGTAACCACAACTCTGATTTCTTTTTCTGTGAGTTTGTTTTTGAAGCATAATTGACCTACAATTCAATGTTAGTTCCCATTACACAACAGAGTGACAATATTCCTAAACATTCCGAGATGATCACCATGATGTCTAGTTACCATCTACCACTATGCAAAGGTATTCCATAATTATCAACAAGATTCCCCACCCTGAACATTTTACACCAGTGACATTTATTTTGTACTTATTCATCTGCTTCACCTATTTTTCTCCTCCCAGTCTCTCCCTGCTTCAGGCAACCACCTGTTTTTCCTCTGTATCACTGACTGTGTTTCTGTTTTATTGTGCTTATTCACCTGTTTTTTAGATTTCACATATAAGTGACATTATATATTTGTCTTTCTCTGTCTGACTTACTTCACTTAGCATAAAGTACACTCTAGGTCCATCTATGTTGTTGCAAATGGCAGGGTTTCATTCTTTTTCACGGTGGAGTAATATTCCATTGTATATATACCACATCTTCTTTATCCATTCGATAGACACTTAGGTTGCTTCCATATCTTGACTGCTGTAAATAGTGCTGCAATGAACACAGCGGTGCATGTATCTTTTCTGATTAGTGCTTTCATTTTCTTCAGATAAATATCCAGCAGTGGAACTGCTGGATGGTATAGTAGTTCTGTTTTTAATTTTTGAGGAACTTTGATGCTGTTTTCCATAGTGGCTGCACCAATTTACAATCCCACCAACAGTGCATGAGGGTTCCCTTTTCTTGACATCTTTTCCAGCATTTGTTATCTGTTGTCTTTTTGAAAACAGCCGCTCCGACATGTGTGAGGTGACACCTCACTGTGGTTTAGATCTGCGTTTCCCTGATGATTAGTGAGGTGGGGTGTCTTCTCATGGGTCTGTTAGCCATCTTAAAATAGTTATTTAAAAAATATGCTAACATATAATGGATGTATTACTGCTACCTTAAGTGAATTAATAAATACTTAAAATTTCTTTCAGTTTTAACTTGTAATGTGGTAAATACTAGTAGAAATAACCCATATAAACAAATCCTCTTTGAAGTGCTCAATAACAAATAAGACTGTAAAGGAGTCATGAGTCAAAAAAAAATGGAGTATCATTTTACTGTAACAGATTTAAACTGAGAAATTAATCTTCTCAATAGATGATGCATCTACTAAAATTAAATTCATCTTATAAAATTAAACAGATTTTTCCAGTAAAGAAATAAACAGGAAAGACTCAATAATAATCACAGATTTATTCAAACTATACTCAGATGTGTAAAGGAAAAGTTTTTACCTGACTGAATAATCTGAAAGTTCACACTTTCAAATCAAAAATGATTTGATCCTTTCAAGTTTAATGGTCTTTTCCTTCATTCAAATAGTCAATATATGTAGTATCCAAGGTTCAGATTCCTACGGATTGCTGAGCTTTGAAGTCTTTTCAGAGAGTCTCTCTCCTGAGTTGAGTGTTCTCAGAATGCCACTTCTCCTTTCTCCTTTCCTAGGAGCGTCTGGGGTGCGAGGATGTCCACTCTGTTTTTATGAAAGCAGAGAAGGGGATCTGTATGGTGTCTTACAAATTCACTTTCTGCTGCCGCTCCCATCTGGCCTGTTACCTGGGTTGGCAGCTCTCAAGTGTGATAGATTCCACTGGGAAATTTGAGTTACCTTAGGATACAGTCTCGGGGTGAACGCCCTGGCCAGTCCTCTTCTCTCTGACTGGCCCTCTGGGTGACACAGGCCCTCTCAGACCTTGTGCATTTCCCACTGGGGTCCACAGAGACTTTGGAATCCCCTACATCAGGGAAGGTCAGTGCGGTCAGGAGTTTGCCTCCAGGCTCTGCAATGTTCTTCATCTGTTCAGGAGTGTTTAAAGCCATCCTCAGCAGTGACTGGTCTGAAGGAGCAGGCAGAGGAAATCAGATCCTGGCATATTACTCACTGTCATACGGCCAGGTCCCTCCTACACAT